TAAGTTTACTTATTTCTCCAAACAAAAATGGAGATACAATTTTTCTCCTGCTACCCACATTTTATTAACTAACTTCTATTTAAAAAATATATTTGGCAATATGAGAAATAGTTAATTGGTTAATACATATGGACATCCTATAGGTCGAACTGTGTCTCTCAAAAAAATACATTTAAATCCTAACCCCAGCACCTGTGAATGGGTCTTATTTGTAAATATTTGGGTCTCTGAAGATGTAATTAGTTAAGGTGAGATCATACTGAGTTGGAGTGGCCCAAAATCCAATGATTGGTGTCCTTAAGAAAATCATGTAAAGTGAATCTACAAAGTGTCCAATAAACAAAGAAGCAAAAAGAAATGTGAAGGCACAGAGACACACAGGGGTGAATGCCATATGAAGACAGAGGCAGATTAGATGCATCTACAAGCCAAGGAGGGCCAAGGACTGCCCAGAAGATAGAGGAGGCAAAGAATAACCCAATCCTAGAGCTGTCCGAGGGAGCATGGCCCTGCCTACAGCTTGACTTCAGTCTGCAAGCCTCCAGAACTAAAAGAGAATAAATTTCTATTTTTTAAAGCCACCCAGTTTAAGATAATTTGTTACTGTAGCCCTAGAAAACTAACACAAGCTATTAATTAGAATAGGAAAGGAGTCAGAACAAATATTATCCAGGCCATCACTGAACTTCAGAAACAAAAAGCAAAACTACAAATTATCTGTAATTTTAAATTACTTAATTGTATTGCATTAAAATACATTACAATAAAAATATTTTTATGAAAACTAGCTTGGCTTCAGTTCACAAACACTGGATGTTCAAAAGTACTTATTCTTTTCATTTTAAAACAGACTTATTTAAATGTTATGCTTTTAAAATTATTTACCATAAAAGGGAACCCACCATATGGGAGACCATAACTGCCAATGATGCATCAGATAAGGGGCTAATTTCCAAAATTCATAGAGTACTCATACAACTCAACAAAAGGAAGACAAAGAACCCAATTTAAAAATGGGCAGAGGAGCTAAATAGACACCTCTCCAAACAGTGGCCAAGAGACAAGAGGTCAAGAAACATATGAAGAAATGCTCAACATCACTAATTATCCGAGAGATGCAAATTAAAATAACAATGAGGTATCACTTCACACCTGTCAGAATGGCCGCCATCAACAAATCATCAAACAACATGTGTTGGTCAGGGTGTGGAGAAAAGGAGACTCTAGTACATTGCTGGTGGGAATGCAGACTGGTGCAGCCACTATGGAAAACAATATGGTGTTACCTCAAAAAGTTAAAAATTTAACTGCCATTTGACCCAGTGATCCCACTTCTAGGAATATATCCTAAGAAGCCTGAAACACCAATCAGAAACAATATATGTACCCCCATGTTCATAGCAGCACTATTTACAATAGCTAAGATCTGGAAACAACCCAAGAGTCCATCAGTAGATGAGTGGATAAAAAAGCTGTCGTACAGCCCTGGCTGGTTTGGCTCAGCGGTTAGAGCGTCCACCCTCGGTCCAGAGAGACCCGGGTTCAGCTCCCGCTAAGGGCGTGTACCTCGGTTGCAGTTTGTCCCAGGCCCTTTCAGGTTGATGTTTCTCTTTCCCTCTCTTTTCCTCTCTCTCCCTCCCACTCTATCTGAACAAAAAATGGAAAAATATCCTCGGGTGAGTATTAAAAAAAAAAAAAAAAAAGCTGTGGTACATGTACACAATGGAATACTATGCAGCTATAAGAAAGAAAGCTCTCTTATCATTTGAGATGACATGGAGTCACCTGGAGAGTATTATGCTAAGTGAAACAAGCCAAGCAGAGAAAGACAAATATCACATGATCTCACTTATTTGTGGAATATAATGAACTAAACAAACTGATGAACAAAAGTGACTCAGGTACAGACTGACAAACCCCAGAAGAGGGGGGGTTGGAGGGGAAGAGATAAACCACAGAACTTATATGCATAACCAATGGACATAGACAACAAAGCTGAGGAAGGGAGGAAGGTATCAATGGGGGGAAAAGGAGAAACATCTGTAACAAAAACAAATTAATAAAAATAATTTAAAAATAAAAATAATTTAAAAATGTAAAATAAATAAATAAAACAAAATTATTTACCATAATATAATTCAAATAAATCTAATAACCTACTAAGTGATTAAAAAGGTTTATGTGGAAGTCAAGTTAAAGATAGTATAAATAAAAGTTTTGTGATTAGAAATATTTGGGTTACTATCTAGGTACTTAGTTGTGTGACAAATTTGGAAAGATCCTCAACTTCTCAGAATCTTCTATTATTATTTTATTTTAAAAGGAGGGAGAGAGCCCTAGCCAGTTTGGTTCAGTGGTTACAGCATTGGTCCACGGACCAAAGAGGCCTGGGTTCAATTCCAGCCAAGGGCATGTACCTTGGTTGCAGTTTGTCCCCAAACCTGGTTGGAGTCATGCAGGTGGCAACCAACTGATGTCTCTCTCTCACATCGATATAATATTTCTCTCTCTCTCTCCCTCTTGCTCTACAAGATAAATGAAAAAATATCCTCGAGTGTGGAATTTTTTTTTTTTTAATCCTTACCTGAGGACATTTTTCCATTTTTTGTTCAGATAGAGTGGGAGGTAGAGTGAGGGAGATAGAGAAATATCAACGTGAAAGGGACACATCGAGTGCCTACCACCCGCACGACCCAACCAGGGCCAGGGACAAACTGCAACCGAGGTACATGCCCTTAGCGGGAACCAAACCCAGGTCTCTCTAGACCGCAAGCCAATGCTCTAACTGCTGAGCCAAACCGGCCAGGGCTCAAGTGAGGATTTAAAAAATAAAAATAAAATGAGGGAGAGGGATATAATGGCTACCTCAGTTTTTTATTCAAGATAAAAAAATTAAAAAAAAAAAAGAGTCATTTAATAAATATCTGTTTCTAAATTCTCAAAAGAAATGCAAAGATTTGTAGGATATTTGAGAATTCTGTTAAATTCTTTAAGGAAAGTGGAAGTGGGAGAATATATGAGATTAGTTAATAACATGAATAGACTAGGGATGATATAAATTTATAGAATAAAAGTTAAAAGAAGAGATTACAGAGTGATGACATAGAACAAGTAGCAAAAATGCCCAGTAGCAATGAGGAACCAAGGACGAAAATAATCCTCCTCAAAGAATGGCTTGACTATAGTAACTACTCGATAAAAATGTACAAAACTAAAGTAAAGATGTCTATAGGACATGGTAAGGAAAATGTCAGGGAAACATGAAATATTATTTATAATGGAATGAATGTCCCCAAAAGCAAGGAGAATGGGTTAACAAGGCACTTAGACAGCAATAGTACTGATCTAGACTGCAATAAGACTGTGGGGAGGGTAGTAGAATGGAGGGATTTTTACCTTACAGAGGACAACAGTTTAAGAAAACAAACAAGTGGAAGATGGAGTTCAAAGACATCATTAACCATATCAAAGAAAAAGAGTATTCCAATAAGTTGAGGGTCAGAAAGAAATTTTTTTAACAAAAGTCTTCTTCAGTCTGTATTTTGACTTAGTGAATGTGAATGTTAACTGTATGCCAGGCACTGTTCTACGTGCTTTGCATGTTTTAACTAGTTTAATCCTCACCAATCACATGAGTTAGGCATTATTATTCCCATTTTGCAGATAAGGAAATTAAAACATAAAGAGGTTAATTTGCTCATCATGACATTTAAGAGACAATCAGAATACTGAAAACCTGTCAGCTAGGATTAGTAGCAGGAAGAGACTGCCTAAAAGTAACTTCTATTAAAAATAAAATCACTATTTCTTCCAATTAAATCACTAATCCCCAAAGAAAATATTTCCCCCCTAATTCTTTGTTGTTGATGTTCCAGAGTGGGCCTGATTTCCTTTGAGAAATCTTTCAAGCTTGGTATATTTTTATGATTTTGTACCTTCCAGCCATTAAATACTGTTGTATAGTAAATTTGATTCTCAAAAAGAAATGCCCCCCTCCCAAAACCATGGAATTTTTTTTTCGTTTTCCCAAGATAATTGGAATAATTGCATCAATTAAAAGATATCGATAAACAAACTAAGTAAGCCACTATACGTCCTGAATTCTTTCTTTATAATGGCTGTATACTAGAGTTCAAAGTATCACGCTAAGCAATCACCTGAAATACATAAAGTACAACTTTAAACAGATAAATAAATCCTGTTTTTAAATACATTTTAATTCCTTCTGAAAGCCAGTCTTGCAACATTTTAATAGATATTATGTAACTTTTCGTTGTCTCCAGAGCACAAGACCCTAAATAAGTTAACTTAAATGTGTTTTCTCAAATAATGATCTTTCAACTCTATATACTACCTTTACCCAGGGCTATGTATTCTCTACCACGAATTGCCAAATTGCCTTCCAAGCGTTTCTCAGTCCTCGAAGGTTTTAAGAAAAATTGTGACACTCGGACCTGTCTCTCCTGTAACATCTCACCCTGCCCTGACCCTTTCTCGTTCTTCCAACAGAGGTGCGAAACTCGCCCTCCAGGCGAGCCCAAGAAAAGAGGGCGCAACTTGCAGCCAAGAATGTGGTATTTGCGTGAATGACGGTGAGGAGCCCGACACCCGGGAGGGTCGGGACAGGACCCGTATGGTCTGCACAACGCGGGATCCCCTCGCCTGAGGACGGGAAGAGGCACCGGGCACTGTGAGACGCAACGGCTCAGGGTCAGCAGCGATCCGGGAAGCACCTAAATTCCTTCAAGTTGCAAGACAGCTCGGAGACACTGGGCCGGGGAGAGGGGAGCGCCCAGGCTAGCGCTGCCCAGGGTCCTGCCAGTAACGCCCCCAGGGAAAGTGAAGCGGCTCCCTGATCCGGCCCGCTCTCCGGGGGAGAGCGATGAAGACAGGAAGCCAACTCCATGACAGGCTCTCAGCCCCCTTAACTACATATTCACGCCCGGCACAGCCCAGGTACAACCGAGAGAAAAGCACCCGGCAGCGTTTCAGCATTTTACCTTGTGTTTCCGTCCCAGCCGACCGCCATGTTTCACAGAAGCCCGGGTCGCCCGGGTTCCCGTTTACCCAGAAATATCGCGAGAACTAAAGCGACTACCACTGCTGAGAGCATCCGAAGACAGTGTCGAGTTCTCGCGATATGCCCTTTGCTGACGGAGTGTATTGTGAATTGAGAGGCGTGGTCAAGATGAAAGGGGCGTGACTAAACAGACCGGAGGTTGAAACTTATTTTAGGTGTAATCACGTGGTGAGTAAGGAATCATCATCTCTAGGAAGCGACAGATTTACCTCCGGACTGACACCTGGAGACCACAGAACAAACCTCTCTGGACTCCATCCTGCACTTCATTTCTGATGAAAGACTTGGGCGCAGGATTTATAATTTGGAATCCTCATGCGTATCACTCAGTCTCTGCAACACGTTCCCTGTCTTTGCTTCCTTATTTCCCCCTATTGAGAATATTTAAGCTTCCTTTTCCAGATGTAGGTGACGCTTTTAACTGTTCAATGTTTTTGTGTTCCAGATAGTATGCTCCTTAAAGCACATCGTTCTCACCCTTTTATTGCCAATATGTACTATGCAGTCAAATATTTCCTGAGAAAATGCTTCATTTATCTGTTCCTAACACTTCACAGTGTAAGAAAGGTTAAATAGGAACTGAGAGTAAGCACATATTACCAGATTTTTCCGAACAGATAAAATCCAATTGAGATTTTAATTTTCTGATTGATTGACCAGAAAAGTCTTACAAAGGCATAGTGATGACTAATACTTATACAGTAAGCACTGATTTTTTCTTCTTCCAGTAAATACTTTACTTACCTTATTTTATTTAATGGTGTAAGACAATACCGTTATTTATCTGTTTCATAAATAAGGAAATTGAGTAGAGTGGCAGTTAAGTGATTTACCCAAAGTCAGATAGCTGGGAGAGGCAGAGAAACATTTGACCGCAACACTAAACTGCCCTTTTATGTAGTGAATCAACATTTATTGAAATGTTAAGTTTTACTAAATTGAAACTGTCCAAGAATATAAGGAAAAATAAGCAATTTCCACTGATGCAATTTCATTTCCAGACTTTGTCAGGATTAGTCCAAAAATTTTAAATCACCTTTAAGTTGATTTATTTCTACCTCCCTCACATATTTAAGCAGCAGCATAGTGTAGTGCTTAACATCATAGACTTAGGTACTTGCTCCTTAATTCTTGACTACAGCTTAGAGAAAGAGGTACAAATTGTTTTGTAAACCATTGAAATAGCCTAAAATTTTATCTAAAAGTGTAAAAATCAAGTGATAAGCCTGATAAATAATTTCTTAAATGTCTATTGCTCATTGAAATTGTAAAACTTACAGGTACTTTTTCTGTGTGCAGGGAATTGTTCTGTATGAATAAAATTAATAATTTTATGAACTGAATAACATTTCCCTTGATGTCTTCCAATGTTTACCAAACTGGAAAAAATAGTAAAAGTGTATATTATAGTTTTCAGTTATGACATATACATGGTACACTAGATATGAACTTCATGACATTTCAGATTGTAAATTCTCAGGAGGCATGAAACAACATTAACTTTCTGTGACTGATGTTTAATACTGCATGTATGAAACACATCAGATCCAAGTTCCTCAAAACAAGGGTTGGGGAAAGTGACATTGAGTTCTTTAGTACTGACAAGAGACTTATTTTTCAATATACTGTTACTTGGTTTTTTTCCCATTTCTAACACAATTTTGCCTTGCTGCTACAGTGTTTCTCCTACAGTGACAGATGCTATCCAATCCCTATAGGCAGAAATTCTGGTGAAGACCATTGGTGCAGTGAGATGGCAGTTACTGGTTCCCCAGCTCACAATACGGATGAACTTGTACTGCCCATCCTAGGCACATTGCAGTGGTCCTCCAGAGTCTCCTTGCAACCAGCAAAGAGAGAAGTTCTCCTGGCAGCAAGATCTATGGTTGAGGGTAACCCCAACTGCAGAGGATGATCAGACAGTGTGTCTCTGATTTCTACTCACAACAGCATAGGGAACCACAGCCACTCACGAAATCGGCTGATGTTACAGATATCTGAATCATATTAATATCTGTATTTTAAAGAACAGGCTAAAAGATACATTGAGCATATGTTCATTTAATGCTGACAATAAAGTGTGCCAAGCAGAGCCCACCTGGTGTGGCTCACTGGTTGAGCATCGAGCCATGTACCAAGAGGTCACCACTTTGATTCCCTGTCAGGGCACATGTCCAGGTTGTGGGCCCAATCCCCAGTGGTGGGCATGCAGAAGGCAGAAGGCAGCCAATTGATGTTCTCTCTCATTGATGTTCCCATCTCTCTCTCTTTCTCCCTTCCTCTCTCTCTCAAAAAAAAAAAAAAGTGTGCCAAGCAGAAAATTTCAAGCATCTACTAAATATAATGGCTAAAAGATAGTTTTGAATAATATGAAAACATTTTTATATTTTCAGTGCTCTAGAAGTAGGTCGTTTGAGCTAACTAATTCAGTGTGAAGCCAAACCATAAGAAAAGATTATTTTTATAGGTCAAAAACAGATATCAATTTCACATAGATCAAATAAGCAAATGAATTCCTTCTGATAATTGAGTTCACTTCGAGTATCAAATTAACAATCACAGCACATCAACTTAGCAATGCACTTATTCTTTTCACTTTTCCCAATAGACTAGTTATTTTTACATAATCTTCACACCCATTTAACATTTTTACCAGCCTATCATTTCAGAAAAATGTCTCATATCTTTGGGAATAGGCTCATATCTTCAAGCATGGATTTTCACAATAGTGGTGAACTGTTATGAAAACAATTGTGTGTGTGAATGTGTGTTCACAGTGCAGTTAGAGAGTAATTATATATAAATGAGATGCACAAATATTTATTAGTTAATAAAATCACTAGCTATTCTTCACAAATTTTATAAGTATTAATGAATTAGTATCAGTGAATTAACATCAGTTAATATGATGACCTAAAACCCAAGCAGTGACCTTTGGATCCATTATGAAAAATACTGTTTCTACTATAATTTCTAATAAAAATACAGAAAAATTAAAAATGAATAGACAGTATACTCAGACTTCACATATCTTTGTTTGGATGCTGATCTTAGAAGAGGTAGTGAATATACTCATCACATGGTTGCATTAGTCCCCACCCAGCAGTCACACATTTGGAAAGCAAATTTATTTTATTGTCTTTCCTGCTAGACAGGTTGGAGATACAAACTCCTAATGAAAAAGGTGAGAAAGAAAGAGGCAATTATCATTCAGTCCATAGGATTAATATTAACATTGTTTGCTTTTCAGTGATGACTCTAGAAATATCTACTCTGACCTACAGTAATGTACCCTTTTTAACCCTGTAATTTAATAAATAAGTCTCCCAGAAGATGACATCTGTTAATCACTCAGAAGGGATCATCCCAACTTACGTTACCCTTTTGCTCCAGGTAGTTCCACATCCTGCTAGGACTGTAGAAACATATGCCCTACCCTGAGATGTGGGGCTCCTGGGTTCTCATCCACAACCATTTTTTAAAATGTGTCTGCCTTGTTGTTGTTCATATGCCTTCAGGACATCACCTTGTTGAATTTGAGATGACAGTGGAAGAGAATATAATTATCTTCTTTCTTCAACTATATTACATGAGGAGTGGGGGAAATGACATCTGTAGCAATTTAAACCTTTTATGCATTTTTATAGCTAATAAGTATTTTATATCCAATAAAGGCATACTATAAACTCTATTTATATTTAATACATTTAAACATTCCCATTTTTCTTATCACCAAAATTTGTATACACATGAATATTGTGGGTCTATGTGTGTGTCTGTGTGTGTAGACACTACACACAATGCACTAAATGCAGGGCTCCCGTTTTCCCAGGTGTTTCCCTTCACTCTTACCCAAACTTTAACACACTAACACTTCGGAACACCTGCTCTTCTAGACCACATACAAAATGATTTGCCCTCGACTTTTACTGCTATCTCAATAAAATCACATAGATCTCTTTGTACCATGTCTGTTCTTGTCTTACTCATTTCTCCGCACATGTACCAACTGGGCCAACTTTTATGTTATGCTGCCTTCACAGATCATCATTGATCTATCACATCATTTCCTGCCAAATTTCCTGGAGCTAAAATAAAACTTCTTCCCTCTACCAAGATATTTTTTAATTGGTCATTGTTCCTGTTCTGATTTTCTTCATCTACTAGATTATGGTTTATCATTCATATCATTACAGATAGATCTACCACATCATCATTTTTAAAAAGCACACCGTATTCAGATCAATGTGTCATAATTTATTAAGTATAAAAGGGCAACAGTATGGATTCTTGTAGTGATAGAAATGTTCTGTATCTTTACTGTATCAATGTCAATATCCTGCAAGATGTTACCACTGATGAAAACTGGCTAAAAAGAACATTAGTGTCTCTATTATTTCTTACAACTGCATATGAATCTACAATTATCTCAACATAAAAAGTTGAATTAAAATAAATTTTAAGCCCTGGCCAGTTTGGCTCAGCGGTTAGAGCATCGGCTTGTGGTCCAGAGAGTCCTGGGTTGGGTTCCCGCTAAGGGCACGTACCTCGGTTGCAGTTTGTCCCTGGCCCTAGTTGGGTGGTGTGGGTGGCAGCCACTCGATGTGTCCCTTTCACATCGATTGTCCTTTTCATGTCGATGTTTCTCTCTCTCTCTCTCCCTCCTACTCTATCTGAACAAAATATCAAAATATGTCCTCGGGCCCTGGCCAGTTTGGCTCAGCGGTTAGAGCGTCGGCCTGCGGTCCTGAGAGACCTGGGTTCGGTTCCCGCTAAGGGCACGTACTTTGGTTGCAGTTTGTCCCCGGCCCTGGTTGGTCGTGCGGGTGGCAGCCACTCGATGTGTCCCTTCACGTCGATGTTTCTCACGCTCTCTCCCTCCCACTCTATCTGTACAAAAAAAATGGAAAAATATCCTCGGGTGAGGATAAAAAAAAAAAAAAAAAAAAAAAATGTCCTCGGGTGAGGATTAAATAAATAAATAAATAAAATTTAAAATCAGGATAAGGAGAAAAAATATATACTG